TCTTGTGAAAACACAATAGATGTAATCACTCTATTAATCATGTCGAACCATAGGTATTCCATAAGCAATCAGAGAAGAGTGTAAAAATAGAAAATATTCTCACGCAAACTGCAAATGAACGGTTCCATTAGTGCGTCGCATTGTCCTAGATTGGGAACATGCGATTTAGTGAAAATCGGTAGTATCTTAGTGGATACTCAATAATTATATTTTAATACTACTTACTGCATGTGGATAAGCACAGGCGCAAATTAGGTTTCCGATCATTTCCTTTTTGAACATGAAGAGTTGGTTCTTACAACATTTTGTCCAATTATATGTACAACAATTCGATGTGTTATAAAAGTAACTATACATTCAAATATTAAGTAAATAAAAAAAAACTATTCATACTTAAATAAATATAGTTTTTTTTTACAAGTAAAACAACCAGCATTGTCTACATGAAAACTATACAATTGACTTTATTCAGCACTAGCACCGCGACTTCGCCAGCTTGGATTACATGTATTAAATCCGTAGATATTGTAATTTAGATCTATTAAGGTGTAATCTATTAAACTATTAATATTTGGGAAATCCTTTCTTAATATATTCTAGGTACGTTAAAGTAATGAAAGTTAGCATAAAGATTTCGTTTAATATCAAATAAAAACTTATGGATTACATTTTATACATAATCGTAGAAACCAAGATATTATCACTATATATATTCATTGATATTGCACAAAAAATCGTCAATTTACATGTGTCTGAAGTTATTGTTGCTAGATCATTCGATTTGTTGTCGTCAACGATTAGTTAACTTATCACGTGCAATAATTCAAATACGTTTCATTTAATCATACGTAAGTACTAGTCCTAGCTTCTGATCCATAAATGTTCAGCTAATAAATAGATTATACACAATCCACGAGTCTCTGATGTTATCAGACATAATTATAATTACAAATTAACGTTTATTTACACAGTAACATGAGCTATGTACCTAAATTATGCAATAGGATTTGGTTACTAAACCAAAGTAGTGGATTCGCGTTTTATATCTTCTTTTGGGAGAGCAAAGACAATTTTATTAATAATATTTGTTGAATTTACGCATTAAGAGTACTTTTATATATTTTGTATTCTCTTATTGAGATTATAATATAAATTTCAGCAAAAACTTGTTTATTTTGAGTTAGACTACCACGAACATTGGTTGCTACAAGACATGAAACGAATATCCGACAATTTTCCGGTATCCACCATAATACTGTCCAGCGGATACAAAAATCCAGCTACTACTCTGCCAGACACAGGAATAAAGAAAATATTAATTTAATTTTAATCTTGAAAATAACTGCGTTTTAATAACTAAACTACAAAATAAATTACAAAATAAATTTTAATTCAATATTTTTTTAAGAATATACTGCAAAACACAACAGTTTACCTCTATTTGTATTATTTAATAGCATAGCACTTTCAACTAACGACAATCCAGCCCTTGGACCACCCATTCGTGTTGCTTTGACATTACCGATTATAATTTAATACTTAAATAACGTAGTAGATTTTTTTATTTACATATCAAGAAAATTAAATGTGTCTGTATTAAGGATATATTTAATTAACGAATTATTAGTAAAAAAGAGAAAATAATGTGATTAATATTCGGTAAGATATATCATGAAGTAATTGTTTATTTTATTTTTTATTTAAAAGTTAAAATTTTGTTTTAACAAATAAAGTTAGACAAATTTTTACTTGATAATTTTATCACTTTCGTTACATTAAACAATTGACAAATAAAAAACGCAAAGAAAACTCTCTGTTGTTTTCTGACTTCGAAGAAAGATCCTTATGCCTGCAATCAAATTTTGAAAATCTAAAATTGCATATGTATTTGCAATCTTCATCTAGGACAGGAGGATCATTTATAGGCAAGTACACACATGCACATTATACAGACAGAAGCTATCAGAATACAAAATTTCTGCTCCGATGTCATAGTCGTGGTAGCGTTAACTGAGACAGATTCCTGGTTGGTACTCTAAATACAATTTCCTTATTGTTTTTACTATCGCCATGTATTTGTTTTGAGTCAATAAACGCTATTATATTTGATTTAATTTCATACAAACACTAATACCATTTCATATAATCTAATACCTTCTTGTATATATACACACACCTATAATTTGAATCTTAGATACGGCTCCAACGATTTTCACATTTAGTATGCAGGGGGTTTCGGTGGGGACAAATCGATCTAGCTAGGTCTGTACCAAAATATACAGAGCTAAGCTCGGTCATCCAGGTACAATATGCCTACATAAATATAATATAGAATATCATGCTTTTTCATAATCCTGAAACTTATAAATATATTACAGTATAGTTATCTTTAATCTATTAATGTCTCCAATGCTGGGGCACAGGCTCTCTATGGATTCAAATAAGGATAAGGGGCCATAATATAATGTGTAGCGGCTCAACGTGCTTGAATACATTTTTGACCACTTATCCTATGACTGCCCAAGTTCCTAAAGCAATTATTTTCTATAGTTGCTTACTAAAATAGCCATTGAAATTACCTGCCACCAAGTTTTGAAATAATAATAAAAACTAATAATAGAAATTATACAAGACCTTGTTAATGAAGAAAAACAAAAGGTTCTTGGTGCGATATTCGAGAGAAAATTTAAGCTTTGAAAAGACCACGATTTATTAGGACTCCGCACCGGGTCCCTATTTCTAACACTCGTGTCTATAGTCGATAGTAGTAATTACTTGAGAAAATGACATAGCCCAAGCAGATAATATAAAGTTAAAAGACGAGAATTTCAATGAAATAAGAACTATTAATTTCTTATTGTAATAGTAATTCATTAATTTCTTGTTTATTTAAAAATACTTTATTAAAGTAATTACTATTTTAACGAGACTAAAGATACGGGTGTAAGATTCCGTTACCCGCCTATCACCAGGCTATATCTCATGAACCGTGATAGTTAGTTAAAATTTTCGCAGATGTACTCGTATTTTTTAAATACTTCAAAACAGATTAAAACAGCATTTGTGCGCGAGTCAGACTCGCACTTAGCCGGTATTTTATTAAAACTCTACTTAATAGGGTTCTTCTACAAACTTCTGCGATTGCACTGATTTGATCGTTGTTGTAAATCTCTTATCGTAGACTAACGTACTAAATACTGCGCCATACAGCTTATCAAGCTGTACGAATCCTTTTGAACTTTAACACGACATTGCATTTTATATAAGAAAGTTTTAAGCATACTTTTTCTAAATTCCCACGAGAACATATCTAAACTTTGTTACAGTAAAATTGACCGTGTTATTGACTATTCCATAATGAATAATTTCAATTAAATCCCTTTGAGAACTGGTAATGTTCTCCCTAGGCACTCTATTCCGTATTTTTACCGTACAATATAGCCTTACTTCATCTTGGGTATTAATTTAAAACAAGCGACTTGTGATTTGAACTTAGAAATAATTGACAAAATAAATTTTATTACACTAATTTGCAAAATATTATGCTTTGAAAACTTGAGAAAAGTAGCAAAAATACTACAAAAATTTACTAAAATATATATGGCAATAAATTAGTTACATAAAACGTTACAACTTTCATTAAAACAGTGATTAAATTTAAACGCACAAATAACAAAGACGTTTTTCGCTACCGTAGCTTTTTGTGAGGTCACTTATGCCCGGTTTCTGAGGTAGTTTTAGCGGCAGTTTATCAACCGAAGTATCTTCTGACATGACGCTTCTTTTTTTTCTAAGTATGTACATTTTCGCCCTTCGGCATTACATACAGACAGGAACAAATAGCTTATTTTCATATTTTTACACTAAAATATATTTGATAACTCACTTAACTTCAAAATAAATGAAGTCAAATTTATTTTATTTAATTTAAGTTCCATCTAGTGATATATTTAGGAACTACTTATTGGTTACATAGTAGTTTGTTGCGTGTTCAGAAACGCAGTGAGTGTTAAACGAAGTTTATCTTCTCCATAACTTTAATGAAGCGATAAATAGTGAGAACTTAATTGAAGCCCTCTGAATCCGGGCATTAGTGCCTTGAATTTGTAGATAGCGTTTTCGGCCGACTAGCAGCAGTACCACAAACATAGCACCGTATCTTCGAAATTTTAATCGCCATGTCGGCGATTACTTATTTATTTATGAAATAAAAAGTTGACAACTGCTATTGCGTTTTCAGCGTGTTCTTTTCTTGTGTATGTAATATATAGACACAAATTAATATATATATAGTAATGCTTTTTTTAATGAAGGCATTTTTGTGTATGTAATGTATTAGTTGCATTGTGTAAGGTAATTAAAGCCTGTTAATGTTTACTCATTTAAATAACGTGGTCGCAACTTGTTGCGTAGAGAAATATGTAGGCGTTATAATGTTTATGAAGTCCAATAAACAGTTTTTGTAGATTATTCTTATTGCTGTTATTTGTGTATTCCAATTACACTAATATTATTACAGTGTTAGCATCAAATTTTATTGAATAATGTTTAATGAACAATTTATTTGACTGGGTCAGTCAATTACTAAGTCTTTATCATCTCACACGTTGTTCTTTACTTATGAAGTAGTTTTGACCATTGGCGCTATTTTGATATTAGATGTAATTATTGTAACATTTAAAAAATTACCTGTCGTCAGTCGAAAGTGGAAACAGGAAAACCTTAAAGTAACAAGATGATACTATTGGAATATTAATAAACACTTTAAAATCATTTGCCTATAATATATTTTTAGAGTTGTAGAATATTTGTATTTTTCATCCTTGATTAAAAATAATATCAACTTTCATATAAATTTATTTAAAAATTAGCTATTTATATTTCGTTTCCAAGAATTTAGTTTACTATCGCAAATATTTTATCCGCAGAATCGACAAATTCTTTTGTGATTGATAAGTTAGCGATATAAACACTTAACATTTTATGTTTATTATTTTCAGAGTGGGGCGTCAATAGCGAACCGGGCGAGGCCAGCGAACCAGAGGCAGGTCGCATGCGTCCCGAGGATTACCGCCTCGTGTTTCTCAGTTCGGACTCCTCGTGCCGTGAGGACACGGAAGACTCCTCGTCAACGGCTTCCTCCGCCGCGCCACCAGTACCGGACGATTGCGACTGGGACTACTTCGAGCCTGGCGCGGCGGCGGTGTTGCCTACACCTACACCTACACGTCATATTCCGCAACCTTGCCCGAGGCAGTGCTCGTGCGGTGCTGAACCCCGTATAGTTGCTGTACCTGTACCTGTGCCAGTACCAGTACCTGCAGCCCTTTGGCCTGCGTTACTCGCGTTCCCTACTCAAGCTCCGCCGACTCCGCACTGGAATACCTACCCGGGGTTCCCGCCTCTCGATGCCGCAGCTCTCGCTCGGCTCACAACGGCCGCCGCCGTCGCCGTTACCGCCGCCGCCTCTGCCACTGCCAACGCAAATGCAGCAGCAATATCTCAAACAAAGCACCTTACCATGACTACCGTTGAAAAAACTGATAAAGCCATACAGTCGGAATCGTCACAGTTGCCAGAGTCCCCCGATAACGATAACATTGATAACAGTATTGAGCGGTCACTCGTATGCGATACCGCAGTTGATATTAAAGTAATCGCGAAAGAAGACTCGGTTTCAGTGTTATCGGCGCCAGCAGACGTAATGCCTGACCACCTTGATGCAGAACAGGCATTCAATTCTACTAATGACTCTGATGATTCAAGTGATTCCGAAAGAGGAGACACTCGAAGAAGCTATGACTTGACTAGCGGAGCGCCTGACGAACCAGCGACAACCGACGAGGATTCAGATGATTCAGGAGGAGGAGGAGGGCGATTCTCCCGAGTTTTCGTGGTTAATCCCGCCGACTCTTCGTCCGACTTAGAAGATAATGCTGATAGTAGTGGAATTGACTGTGACGATTCTTTTGATAAAAAATCAGAAAACTTGGAGATAGTTCCTCAGGACGTGTTAGTAGATAATAATAATATTAGTAACGAAAATGAAGAATCTAGTAGCAGCTCGGAAATTAACGACAACCCGCAAGTTGTGCTTTTGGATTCTGTGAGTTTTTCAGAAGAGTATTCTATAATTCCATATGGAAATTACAATGAAATAACAAATAATGAAAACGTGGCGACAAGGTCTGAATTCAAAAAGTTTTGCAACGAAAATATGTTGCAAAGTGAAACTTGTGAGGAATTTAATAGTTTTAGTGAAAATTATAGTCAAGATAGCATAGATAAAATAAATAACATCGATAATAACATTGATCAGCAATTAAGCTTATCTGAAAACTATGAATGTGACTCGTTGGATAAAATTTCTTATACAGAAAGTGATATGAAAGTAAAAGTGCCAGTAGAATTATCGAGTGAAAAACGAATTGAGAAAAAAACAATATCAGAAGAAATTCCTTGTGTACTTTTGTCAAAATTATCACCTTCGCCGGAACCAAGCCATGATAATTCAAATACAGCGACTGTGGAAAAAATTGATTTATTTAAAGGTATTGAACGAACGCTCAGTGAACTATTAAAGAAAGAATTATTAGAGGACCAAGAAGTGGAGAAAATGCACGGTGCGCGGCCGGTTTGCCCCGAGGCGGAGGGGGGCGCGTGCACACCTGACGCGACAACAGTTTGCCGCTCGCGCACCGCCTGTACGGACGGCCACGCGCGCTTCACGAGTCGCGTTATGATAACGCACGACCGCGTCTCCGTCGTCACGTCGGATACGACGCGGCTCATGCGAGACATCACAGTACATCATACAAATTCGCAAAACGAGTCAGAACCGGGCACGCGGTCAGACGAAAACGACGAACGAATATCCGACGACGAATCGCCACAGCCTTCAGGCGGAGTGACTGTCGTTAGCAATTCCGATACGCTCTCGGCGGTTGTGTGTCTCGAGGAGGGGCTCGCAGATGACGACTCGTGGGTCGAGGACATCAGCCATGACGAAAACGAGGCCACATCACCCTCGGACTCGGATTCGGAAGATGAAGCGACGTTACCTGCTCGGGGGGATGATTTTGCATACTGTAGACGTTCCTTAGATTTTACTTTACACACAATTGTCGAAGAAAGCTGCGAAGAAAGCGAAACGGAACAAACGACAAAAAAACCGCGACCTATTTCGGCAACTGAATTAGAAAAATACTTTTTCTTCGGTTTAGGCGATGGGAGAAATGTACGAGATGACGAGGAAGCTTTATCAGAAACGTCAAGTGTGTGCAGTGAAGGTGGTGATTCAATTGTGGATAGTGAGCAACCAAAAAGGAATAGTAGTGATAACGATGAATTGGTATCTTCACGCTTAGAAAAATATTTTCTATCTGGATTTATGGGGTTCAACCAAGAAAACCGAGACTCGGATGGTTCCGGTAGTGTTGGGAGTGATAGTGAAGGTAAACAAAGCCCTGAACATAGGAGAAAACGGTTAGTTCGCGCTCGAGGTACACCAAGGTCACATTCGTCGTCTTTAGACAATTTATTAACGGGTGAGGAACCTTCACAAGATGCACAAGAGGTTTCAGATGGATCTAGTACGGAAACTGAAGATCGACACGACTCTTCTGAAAGGTTAGATATGCAAAGTGATACAAAACGTAAAAAACAAAGCAAAAAAACGCGTGGTTCACCCGCAGATGAGCGGCGGCAATCGGTAGAGTTTACTGAGGAAACTCGTGATGACACTAGATCCGTTTCGGAAGGCGAAGATGGTAGATCTACGCCACGACCTGAGTTCCCACCGTTAGGATCTGAACTATCTGAATCTAAGAAACAAACGAGTAGAGACAGTGGCTTTGTTGGCAGCTGTGACGACTTACTAAGAAATGGGGACTCCAGTTCTGATTTCGCAAGGTCTCATGAACCTAAAACAGAACTAGAAGAAATTATCGAGGAAATTCGGACGGATTCGGAGGAACGCGTCGAAAGTTCTCCGTTACGGCCACCGCCGAGTCCTTTGTCGCGTAAAGATAGCTTTAATAATTGGTCTTCAGATGAAGAAACTAATTTAATGATGACAAAAATGCGTCAATTTTTCAAACAAATGATAAACACGAATAATGTAAGAACATCGACACCGGCTTCATCTAATTCAGAAAGCTCACGTCCCCCAAAACCTCCTCAGCTTTTATATTTTGAAAGTGAATTAACACGATTAATGAAAACAGTGCCAGGCATACGCGACGAGCAGGTTCGCGAAATCGTTGAGTATTTATCAAGTGAAGATACTTGGAGCGATTCTTACGATTCATCTGATTATGCCGGCTCAGATTTGGAGGGCACATCGACGAATAGATCTGCTTTAAGAAAACAAATATCTGAGAGTTGTAGAGAAATTATTGACGAGTTTGATAAGGGTAACAGTGAAGCTGGGTCGTTAGAGCGTGACGCGGCTGGGGCCTACCGCAGATTGGCGGCAACGTTAGGTAGGGCAGGGGAAGGGTCCCCGCCCTTATTCGGTAAAGTTATGAGACACATAGGAGGTCGGTTAGTGGCCTTAATGCATGAGGTATCGGCTGGAGCGTCTCCGAGTACAGATGATGATAGCGCTTCGGAGCCGGGGGCGTTAGCGAGGAGTCGGTCGCATGATATACTAGAAGCGGCTGCGAGTAGGGGTAGTGTTGCGAGTGATTGCGAACGGTTTTCTTGGCGGGGTAGTTTTGAATCTGCTTTATTGGCGGCGGATTCCAGGGGAACACTGGGTGGCACAGGCTGTGAAGCGAGGCGATCGCCAGCGGGCGCAGAGCTGGCTGCTCAACGATCACATTCGAGGAGTTGTGGTGCTATAGCCGGCAGCGAAGATCGTCTGTGGCGAGGGAGACGACGCGCTTCTGCTCCTGACGCTGAGGTAAATAAACATACTACCATAACATGTCCAATACCTGTGGGTTAATTTAATTATCTTATAATTTTCCGACAATGGTTAAAAAAATATATCGAGTGATTTAAGATTCATCTTTTCTACATTATTTCAATACATATAAACATATTAAAATAATACAAAAATGTACATATTTATTCTCGCTCTATAAATTGTTATAATATTATCTTTAAAATCATGTTGCTAAACTGCATTGGAAGAGTTATCTATAAAAGATACTATGAATTTTTGTTGATAAGATGTAGATAGATAATATATGAAATATCGATAATATAACATTCTAAAATTATATACTCGGGCATACTCGTAGGTAATAAAATAAGAAATGTTATTACCCTCGATCGAACTATGGATTCCTTAAAAATAAGACGAAACCGCTTAGTATAATCTTTTTAATAAGCTTACATATACGTAGTATATCTTACGTTATATTGTACAATATCTTATGCTAGATTGTCTTTCAGTCGGAAGAAGAAGAGCGAGCGGGCTCCCTGCCTCGTCTCCCCTCGGTGACAGGCACTAGCACGGTACCAGCCGGTCCGGTTAAATCGGCCCGGTACCGGGCGCCCGGTTTCCGTACCGCTACCCGGGCGGCATCTGCACCTGGATTACATGCGCCCAGGAGACGGAGACCACCTCCCACCCCTCACCAACCGCCTCCAGCAGCACCGACTTCAGCGCCTAGCTTACAAGGTAGGAACAGAATTTCTTTATAAGCTATTGTGCTATTGTTTTTCAGGTTATAGACTTATATTAGACCTCTTTTAGATAGGTTTGTCAGGTCTTATAAATGAAAATCCGGACAGACCAACTAATTCAGTCGAATTTTTGGTTAAAAGGGAAGTAAACCCTTAATTTTGATTGTGAAATTTATACATATGCAAAATTATCACATTCTTTATTACGTTATTAAATGGCAATGTTAATGTACCTATCAACATACTTATCTATATCATGCTATCAAAAAAATCTACGTAACAACACAAATAACGTGACGTCACATGCCACTTGAATATAAAGTTGCTTTAATTTTATGCAACAGAGTTAAATCATGTACCGACGCTTAATGCAAGCATGCATACCATAGAATCATGTCGTGGAAATAGGAACGTTTACTTATTGTTATGGCTGACATATTAATTTATTTTAACTATTATATTTGTATTGGTTTATTACTCTTTAGTTATATATATTATATAAACTTAATTGATTTATTTTAATAGTAATTTTAGCGAGACCAAATTCTCCGATAGATCATTACTCAATCAGACTATATTGCGTAACTTTAAATAATTATGAAAGCAATGAATGAAATCTCAGAGAAACATTACAATAAGAACAAATAGATGTGTTCTCAGTTAAACGACCTAGACGAATCGCTTTCTTGAAAATAGTGTTTACAATCTTGTTTAGTATTCGTTAACGGTGATTGCTACAATGTTTTGCCTACAAATGCTTGACCTACTCTTCGATGGATCGAAATATTTCTGTCTCAACTTTAATAATTTCATCCTTTCTACCAATTATAAAACTGATTTTATTTACTGATTAATACAAATATAAAGTATGTTAAATGAACTAATCGAATATACAATTCAAAGCTAAAACTAAATCACAAGAGTTTAATTTTAGATTGAACTATATATTTCTAATAAAATTCTAACTGCATTTATTCATACATCCTTCATTATAATTAATTCGCTGTGATTATCCATCATTTATGGTTATCCAACGGATATAGAGTTGGCAAAGAATTGACATGATTAATATTATTTTATATCTCTGGACATTGACTGTCGGATCAAGAAAAACTAGTACCTATCTTAAGCTGCTCTCTCTCTGTCGAATGAACTAGGAAATGTTTTCTAAGACTTTCTACCTCCCCTCGCATTGCTCACTTGTTTCATTTATTTATTAGATTCAAACACCGTAGTATTTACGGTTCTTTTTTTGTTTAATTTTATGGAGATATAAATAAAAACTCTGGGGTTAATAAACTCTAATACCACGACGAAATATCCTCCATGCGCCAGTTAGCAGTCACGGATCGCGAAACTATGTATCTTGATTCTACCCGTTCCGAGGAGCGCTTCTAAAACATTTTTATAGCGTTCTCATCCATAACAAGTATTATCTATGTCGATTTTTTCCTAATGAGTAATGACGGCAATGTAAACATTTCTAAAACTCGCGCTCCCATTATTGTTTATATTCCTTTGACCTACTTGCAAAAACTTATTAAGTGTCCATTCTACAAATGTAGTTTCTGCTTATGTCGTAAACAGTAAACAGCGATTAGTTCATAGAGATTGCGCATACTCATGACAGAAGTGGACACGGTTTGAGTGTTATCATAATTGTCATGTTACTACATGAAGGACTATTTGCAAGCTCCTTCTGCGTCGTGCATCGTTAAATCATCAATAGCTAATCTATTTGTGAGGCGTCACACTGAGTTGCTTGACCAGATTAAAAAGTAGGTCTAACTGTCTTCGGCATAGTATTTCTACGTTCGTGACTATACACCACAGTAAATATAGCGGCCTCAATGTTCTCTTCTCATAGTTTCAATACGTCGTATCAATTCTGGCAAACAAAGACACTTTTACTTTCTTCTACTTAATTTTTGAGTAAAATTACTAACTAAATGAAAGTTAATTACTGACTACCATTTGAATTTTTTTTATAGAAGCTTCAACTGTTATTGCTTTACGTAACACTTAAACATTCTCTTGTTTATGCACTTGTCTGTTTCGTAACACTGATATCAGGCGAGATGATATTAAATATTTATATACTTGTTCGATCATACCTCATGTAATTATAGTAATACCTTTACTTTCGTATTTATCAGATTTTGAGCCAGTTAATAAGTAAACTATCAGGTATACTAATTATCGTGAGGTAAATAACATCGGTTACTGAAAAAATGAATGGATACTCTTATTTATTTTCACTTGTTTAGTAGAAAATGTAAACACTCTAGCATTAAATAATTTTGATAACACAACTAATTTAGAAATAATTAGTTACACATTTTTAACACATTTACTCAGAAGTTAGAAAGTGATCAAATTAACTGTCGACAATAAAATTTGCAATGTTATTTTGAAGATGTATTTATACCATTATAAATACTGTAAATATTGATAAAAATAGCGCGGGTATATAATGCTTAAAAGCTTAATCAAGAATAAACTGTTTATCGTGTCACCAATGTTCTCCGTAGCGAAAACTATGAATGGTGGTCAGCGAGCGTGAAAACACTATTGGGCAATTGCTGTCAAGAAAAGACATGCGCTGTCTTAAAGAATGACCACACAATTACGGACAAATCAATAGTTTCTATTGTACAAAATTGTGTACAGGTTTTACTGCAATAAAACATAAGAATGTCGACAATGGACACTTAGAATTTTACCTAGTGGATTAATATGATAAAAAAACGGAATTATAATGTGCGCGTAAAGGTTAAGAGAGAACGAAACGACATCGTGAAATTATTGAAACTGGCACGCGTAATTCCCTATTAGTTACCAATTTAGTTACTCTAAATATATATTTAAAATAAAATCCTACTTGTTAAAATAGGATAGCATAGTACTACAGATATTCAAACATCAATGTTCTAGTGATCGCACTAGTCAGAGCATTGTGGGTCATATTAGTATCGATACAAATCCAAAATAATTTTCCAAATTCTAAATAGGTTTTTTCGTGGCCGAATGGCTCGTACACCGGTTTTAAGGCTCGCCTTCAACGGGAGGTCCTGAGTTCGATTCCCAGTCGAGATTTATTTATTTATTTTTTTAGGTCTCGGTGTTGTGTAACCTTCGTTGTTTCAGATATTCCATAATAGGGGGGTTTTAGTTACTCATCTTGAAATCCAAACAATGCATGTGATGTTTTCTAATATAATATGTTTTTTTTTCAATTATCAATATAATTTTTAATGACGTGCCCGCGCTATAACGTTTAAAGATTCTCTTGGCAATCATGAAGGACCCTTTTGTATTGAGTATGTCACACTCACAATAGAGCTGCGTAATAGTTTTAAACAATACGCAGCCATAAAAAATCTCAAGGTTGTGTAAAGGTTAGGATTCGTAACTTATTCCACTTTGTCTATTAAGAGGTCTTGATTTTTCTCATTTGAGTGAAAGAAAACCACTTGTCAATTCAGTGATCCACTTGTGTTGGTACATTAAAATAATTATGAAAGGGGGAATTATGCTCGATTTTTTTAGAGTCCGTTCACCAGAGAAGGTTAGCAAACGTTAGTGTAGATTATCGTTGAATAGACGTTTAAAATATTGTCAATGGTTGAAACAAAACCACTTGTCAATTCACTTGTGAAGTACAACTTAAGTGTTGATCTTTCATTCATTTCATTGTAATCTTATATGTAAAAACTAATTAATTTACTTGACATTGGCAGAATTGTGCGAAATGCGCAGATAAGCCATTAATAAAAAAAAAAGAAGAAGAACTTGACAGTTCTTTTCACTGCCAGCTGAATGGTTATTTTTATGATTCACAGATTATTTTATGTGTAGTTACAAAATATAAACACATGTTTAAGTAAAAGAACAAGTAAATCAGTCGGTCGATCAAAAATTCACCTATTTATAAATAATTTATACATATTGGAGAACTCCATAGCTAGTCAAAACTGTTCACACACTTAGAATTCTGCTAATGTAAGCGTAATTATGGAAATATAGTGTTTCAACTAAAACCCTCTGTGACACAGCTGTTGTTACTAGATTATAAAATATCAAGTATATGTCTGTCGCCATTGCTTTGTGAGGAAACCGTTGCACTAACATGGACTTCAGATAGTACAATCACAAAATGCAAGAAGTTGAGATTCTATTAGTAATTCCGCAGAATTGAGGCCCACGGTTGTTTAATTGGCACCATATACTGAAATAAAAAGTAAATGCGATGATTTTGTCATAATACTAATAAAATATGATTTAGACGAAGCCATACATAGCTCGAGCATAGCGAAAGTTGTTTAACAACCGTATTGCAGACTGAGTGCGCTAATCACTGCGCCATCGAGCTCCTCGATTTATCCTATATTAATTAACTGCAAAGAAAAAACCCAATTCCAACAATTTCTTTCCCATTCATTGATACAGGCAATACTGCGCGATATCTCATGTTCTCTTAAGCCATACAAGTTTCACCTTTGACATTTTTTTGTAGCACGCTTTTACTTGTTCATGTTATGGCTAGATTAAAGTGAGGAAGTCATTGTTCACGGACGTCATGTTTTTTTTTACACTTCGCATGTGACCAATTGTGTTGTCGATCGACGTTATTATCGACGATGTCTTATTAATACTTTCACTCCATATTAGTACTTATAATAAACTAGCTTTCCGCGAGCGGCTTCGCATGCGTATTTTATCCCTAGGGAACCGTTTACAGATATAGAAGTAGAATTGAATAAAAAAAGCGATAGAAATAAAATCCAGGCTGAAAAATGTCTGTATGTGTGTATTTCAACAGAATCCGTTTGTACGTGAAAGAGTAAAAAACATAAATAAGAAGAGCTTTTGCATTTTATTAGCAGATGAATTGTAAGATAACATTGGTTTATGCATTCAAAGACGTTCAATATTGAAACGTGTATTTAACTTTTCGCAATGATCTTGTTTTGAAGCTTAAAATAATTGATATTCAAATGGACCGATGCACTTTTCTATAATTATTTTTAATTTTGTTTTTGTTTAATTTACAAAATATTTGTTATTTTTAAATTGTATACATTATGTCAGGTAATATTTGTGTAAAATATACTTAGTACGAACAGTGACTAATAGAACAATAAAATCGTTGTACAGTTCCTGGTTACAGAAGTAACAGTGAAAGGTTAAGTAATTAAATTTAAAATAAACTAAATAGTAAACTTTTGTTAAATATCAACCAGCTCTATGTAAAATTATGGACCTATTCGGATATATATCTTTTGGGGCAATTGTTATAATAAAACAAAATAATAAAAGTATCGATCACTCGATATAAGATCACAGATTAATGATCTAGTGGCAAAATGAAATTGATCTGAATGCCATTGAGATGCGATTGTTACCTTAAAATTAGAAAAATCAAGGCCCTTCGCTGGTGTGATGATTTCTTTTTGGGGGTCATGAACCCAATTGGTTTAATTTCTTTTATTTTGAATCTTGTTTTGGTCTAATGTGGCCATATTTTTGTGTTGTTGTGCCACGACAGAAGCATGTCGGTTTCATACGTTTTACATATATGATTATATAATTGCACTCCATAATAACAAGGTATGTGTACAATTATAACCACACATAAATGTGTTTCCACCTTTATTGAATCTT